GTTTGTTAGTGCATTAGTGGCGAGGCTTATATGTGACCCACATATTTTTATTGAAGTTATTTAATCAAGGTTGATCGAATAATTTAATTTAATTCGATTGATTTTTATTTAAATTTATTAAGATGAGATAATATGGTTATTACAGGGTATTTACAAGCGAGTTGAGTGGTTAGATTTTATAATTTGAGTTGCGGTGATCACTTACGGAAATAAAGTAAACGTAAGATCAATTATGAAGAAAGAATCAGAAGCAGTGTCGCCCTGAAAAAGTTATCTATTAACGCTACTGCAAATTGAAGATATTAGCATTGACTAATACAAATAATAAATAAGTAAAATAAAAATGATACAATTACTATGTTCTAATAGTCATTGTCTTAGAATCAATTTCATCAAAATTAGTGTAATTTTGAAAGTAGACGTTGTCTCTAGATTTCGTACATCTAAAATAAAATAATAGGGCTTGCTTAGTATTACTTTTTCGAAGATAAATTAGAAGAGAGAATTGCATAGAAACAAGAAATTAATGTTGCAAACAGTGAAGAATAGTTTGATGTTAATTATAAGGAAATGTTAATAATAAATGGAGACGATCGTCATAAAATCTTAATTGCTCTCCGATATTTACTAAATACAGAAAAAATCTTATTCAAAAAATATTTTAATCTTTTAATTACACTTCGGTTTTGGTGGCTATCATAAGGTCGTCGTCATTTTTTTAGAAAGATTTTTTTATGGTTGGGAGTTCAATCTAAATAACTTTTCTAATTATAATTAAACAAAAGATTGAATATTAAAAATAAATTTTTTTCTCAACAGATTAATGGTGAAATGTGCCCTCGTGTTTCTCAACAGCAGCAGGCCGTACGTCGTAAAGAGAAAATAAGGAGAGAATACTCTAATATATGAAAAGAAGCACATGCGTGCAGATAAAGTACATAAAACATGAGCTGGTTTACTGAACGAAAGTCACAATACAAGAACAGATCCCAGCACCAACCAACACCTAATACAAGAACAGTTGGAAACCATCCAAAGCAAGAAAGCCAGTTGCTAAGGGGTATGGGATGAATGAGCATTTTGGTGACGACATCTTTGATGTAATGAAAATAAATGTCTAGTGTGTTCAGTAGTAGGAGAAAGAGAAAAAAAAAATTAGAAATGATATTTAATTCATAAAATCATTCCAACCTGAAATGTAATAGAGAAAGAAAATGTAAGAGAGATATAAATAATTTAAAATTATATATTTTAAAAGGAAATTTCTACTAGGCTGGACGAGTATCGATAAACATCATTAATTATGAGAACTATTAATTTAATTTATAAAAAATTAAAATTCTTAAGGCTCAATGTATAATTATAAATTAGTTAAAAATTAAAGGTAAATTATTTAAAATAAAGGGTGAACTATACCGGTGACCACCTAACTATTGTCTCTTTTAATTTTATCCAACATTTTTGAAATTTTGTCAATCAATCACTCAACTATTTAAATGCATTCAATTAAGCCGCTTGCCGTTAATATTTAACGAAGAAGTTGTTGTATCAGTTAAAATATTTGATATTATTATACATTTAGTCCATGTTACTTATATATTCTATCAATTTGATTCTAATTTTAATAAATTAAAATAAACTTAACCCTCAAATCAAGTAGTGTCAAATTAGTCTTTATTCATCTTATTCTTTCAATTTGTAGGAAAAGAAACTTACAAAAAAAATTGATTTCATTTTTGAGAAATTAAAAAAAAAAATTAAATATCAAACGTTTTGATTTCAAATATACATCTTTATTAAGTAAAATCAAAATTTAAACTCTTAAAAATTAATCCAGAATAATTAAATTTTACTTATAATGTTACCAATAAGGTAAAAGTAAAGTTATAATAATTGGATAGCTGAGTAATAAATAAATAAATATTTGTAAACATATGATCTAAAAGTAATAACAAAATAAAATAAAACATCTAATTTAAATTCCTAAAATCATCAAAATATCTAATTTAAACACATATATTTGTCACATTAATTGTCTTGCATGTATCAATGTAAAATATAGTGTTTTAAGCTTTAATAAAAGGAAGAACATAGAGAAATCAATATAAAATATAGTGTTTTAAGCTTTAATAAAAGGAAGAACATGGAGAAATGCGAAATGTTGGCACGTCTCATCACAAAAAAAATTCATGTTTATTTCACTTTATTATTAGAAATAATAAAAGCCGATAAAGAGAAAAGAATTGTACTTACTGAAATTAAATTGGATTTCTCTCTAATTAACTACTTTGACATATTTAAGGGTTAAATTTATTTTAATTTATTAAAATTAGGACCAAATTAATAGAATATATAAGAAATAGTGATTAAATATATACTATACCAAATATTTTAACTGTCATCATTTTTTCATTAAATATTAACGGGAAGTGGTTTTATTGAATGCATTTAAATAATATTTGAGTGATTTGATCGATAAAATTTCAAAAATGATAGTCAAAATAAAAAAAGGCAATAATTAGGTGGTCACATGTATGTGTTACCTTTTATTTTAAATAATTTACCATTAAATTTTCAACTAATTTATAATTGTATGTTCAATGATTTAGAATTTTAACGTTTTATAAATTAATTTATCCATGCTCATATCATTAGCAATGTTCATTTTCGCTTGTCGAGTGTAGAAGAATCATCATTTTAAAGAAATTATTTTATTTATTTTATTTATTTTATTTATTTTATTTTTAGTCATATTATACTATTAATGAAATTTTTATATTTTATTATTATTTTTTTCTAAATTATCTATCAAATGCATCAATAAAAATATTTTCTATTATCCAAATTTTCCATCTTTATTTTTCCATCATTCTTTTTCTTACCCTATTAAACAAAGCTTCAATGAATGCCCAACATAATTATTACAAGATACTCGATCTCTTAGACAGAAAAGAGTTGTCTATTCTCACCCACATGGGCTAACATTGTCACGTTGTTTCAGTTTTGTCTGCAAATTCAAATAATTCATTAACTTAGCAAAAGAATAGAAAGATTCCTCTAAACCTCGAAGCCATCAATGGTCAACAATTCATTACTCTTTTGGAAAGATAATAAAGCAACTGAGAAAAGTAGGAAGAGAGAAGAGAGAGAGAGAGAGAGAGAGAGAGAGAGAGAGAGAGAGAGAGAGAGAGTTAATAAAATTCAATTAAATTTATCTTAAAGAAAAGAAAAGAAAAGAAAAATTAAATTGAATGAAATTATAATTATTATTTCATAATTACATTTTACGAGTAATTATAGAAGATAATTATATTTTTAAACCTATCCTAAGATAATTAATATATGTTATTTCACATATTTACGAAAATATCATATATATTATTTAGAATTTACCAACTAACACTCCATTTCCTCGTCTTTTGCTTTATTTCCTCTATTCCTTCTACATTGTTTCATAACAGCCACACAAAAAAAGATGTCCAGTAGTTATTACCAAGAAAAGATGTTCAATGGCTTTCCCGTGTTGGAGGTTAAGTACCATTCTATTAAAGAAGGCTGAGTCGACAATATTTATTTATCGAATAAAATATATAAATGGTCTTTCGATTATAAGATATTACTTTTTTTAGCCCCAATTATTAAAAGTTATAAAAGAATCATCTGGCTAATAAGACGTTGCTTTTCGAGTACTTCAACTATTAAAAGTTACAAAATGATCACTCGAGTGTTTGTATATTCCAAAATCGTCATTTTCTGTGAAAAAAATTAATGGTCGTCTAAGTTGGACGATAACTTGCTGACTGAGATATGATAAAATTTGATCATAGAACGTTTCAGTGTATAGTCATTTGAGATTCTATTATCAAATTTTATCATATCTCAGTCAATAAATTAACGGTTAGCTCAGACTGTCGTCAAATTTTTAATGGAAAATGATGAACTTGGAACATATGAATAGTCGAATGACCATTTTATAACTTTTAGTAATCGATGGACTCAACAAAGCAATATCCTATATCCAGGGATCATTTTGTAACTTTCAATAGTCGAGGGATTCAGCAAAATATTATCCTATAGTCGGGGGACCAATTATATACTTTACCCTTATTTATTTAATATTTATACGAGTTATTTTTTTATATTATTTGTTTTTCCCTTTGTTTTCTTCTCATTTCATAACAATTTATTTTATACATTTTTCTCTATTCTATGATTTTCGGTTCTTTTATATTTTTTCATACAATCTTATATAAGTTTTTTTTTGGATAATAAGAAAAGTTTTAAATTGATATTTGAATTTGTTCAATATATTTATTTATATAATATTTATTTGGTTGCTGAAAAAATGAACTTAAATATCTTGTTTTGTTGTTGAGAGAAGTGTAAACTTGAGTCGGGTGCTCAAAGATTCAATCTGTTTTGTATTCATTCCTAATTAAGGGCCTTCAATTACACCGATTTCAAAAGGACTCATAAATTACGATTGTTATCCAAACATATCTTAAATACTATAATTATAATTTTATAATTTTTTTTATAATTTTATAAATTAAAAGGTCAACTTTTAGATTTTAATATATTTTATAATATTATGAATATTTTTCTAGTTAAACAATAAATAAATATATATATATATATCAACAACCAGTTGGTATAGTGGAATGAGACACTATATCCCTTAAGCAAGGTCAGAGATTCGAATCCTGATGATTGTGAATGGAGCAAACTGAGTTGGAGGTCATCCTTACCTCTGCAATACTAGATCCGGATGAATATTTATAGATGATAATTTGAAATATTAGTCTTTGTCAATTAGGATATTTACATTGGTAATTATTTCATTATTGCAATATTTGTGACGAATATGATTGGATATAAAATATATATGTAAATCATGTAATCTGATTTGAATGTTTTTTTGCTCAAAATTGACTGAAACTTCACCTCTTTTTCACACAAGAAATGAGAGCACAAGTTCGGCAAATTACAATGCCAAGTTATTTTAAACACAATCTTTATTGAAAGAGAAGTGAAAAAGGAGATCAAACTCGAACCGTACACACTATTAGCTTCGAAAATGGATCTGATGAAGCAATTGCTCAGCATTCGATTAGAGACTCAAACTCGAACCGCTCAGTTTCTGCATTGTTATCTGATCCAACTGCGCTGCCATTTCAGCAGTCAAACAATTCTTCCAATCCCCAACCTTGCCTTTCCGAAAATAAGTATTGTTCTCAACAAACCCAGTTTTAGGCGTCCCATAAACCCCAGTTTTATTCACTTCCAGGTTGCTTAATTTCTCAAAGCTACTCATTTTCACAATCCTTTCAATCACTCCATTTTTCTGTTCCTCAGACGAGAAAGGATAACCAACGAACTCGGCTATTTTCTTAACATAAAACTCAGTATCATCACTCATGTCTTCGTATTTCAAGAACAGAATCCTACCCGGATGTTCCACACTTGCTTTCCAGTAACCCAAAACATGGTCCCAATAAGGTCCATAGAAACTCTCACCTTCACAGAACAACTCGAACGCCTCATAGAGGCCAAGGGGTTGAGCGTTTCGGGATATTAGGATCCTGGCAATGAAGTGGTACAATGAAACAAATGAATCCTTGGGGTCCCTGCAAATGTAAACAATTTTACAACCAGATTCGATTATCGATCTTGGCAAGGAAGAATATGGAACATGTGTGGACAACAGAGGGATTCCACGGTCTCGATTAGTGAAAAACTGGGCATGATGAAGCTCCATGAAAGGCACGATATCATGGGGCACCTTGAAAAGCAAAGGGGTGGTGGAATCGTTGTATGAAGTTCTTGTAATGGTGGCGAACGTTAGAGATTTCAGCCAAGTTGTGCCGGCTTTCGGGACGCTGCAAAGGATGATATCGGTGGGTTGAGCTTGGAATTGTTGCTGAGCCGAAACGACGCCTCGAAGAAAACTCGGATGAAGCCAGAAGCCTTGGTACTGGCAAAGATATTTATAAATACCCCAACAGTTTCCTTTGGGAAGAGTCGATATCATCTCTTTGAATGATTTCTCAAACTCATTTTCGTTTTCTTCCTTCTCATTAGGTTTGCTTATGGAATCTAAGTGAGACTCCATGAAGAAGAGGCTAATGGGTGCAGATGTAATGGAATAATGGCTCTATACATAGGTTTAAAAAGAAAAATCAAATCTATACTACGTTTACAACAAATATCAAAGTTGAAAAAAATAAAGAAAGGAATAAATTACACTCATGATCACTAAATCTTTAGGTGCTAGTATTTTGATAATTGATAACAAGTTAGGTGACTAACGGCCGATGATGCTTAATGTGTTGGAAAGAAATAATACCATTGCGGATTCAGAAATATTTTAAGAGTACAATTAAAATTTCAAGGTATATACAACTATTAAAATATATAATTATCTAAATAAAATTTGAATTTCAGGAACCATTAAAATATATAATACTATGAACATTATAACAACGTGTTTAGGTCTCATAGTTAATTTCCTAAACAAGGGAAAACCTATTTTTGTTAAACAACGTGTTCATCTATGTATTTATTTATTTATTTATACACGCATTTGCATCTTATCTTTATTTTTAATTTTCTGACTACCGGAGGTCTTCCACGGAAGTTGCTCTCAACCTGGTGTTGGGGTCAGCCTACTACCCTACCTCCCCCTTACCCCATTGCATATGGAAATCAGGGTTTTATTGTTGTTGTTGTTGTACTCTCACACTTTTAAGTATTAAATATTAGGAGCATTACCTTTTATTGTTCATGTCGGAACCGTCTTTCGGTTAGGCATCAGAATTGGACTTCGACTTAGGAAAATGGATTGGAGTCGCCACCGATATTTTATTTTAAAACAAATAGGTAGATCAGATACCTTATTCCTTACGTGATCTGCATCTTACCAGTGATATGTCGGATTCGGGAGTCGGTTACAGTCAAGGAAGGGTTAGCACCCTTGAACTGCCCTTTCGGTACTACGCAATTTCCAGTTGTCTTTAATTAATAAAATTGTAATTCTAAATTAAAAGGTAAAATTTAATCCTAAATTACTTACCTCTAATTAATTGAAGATGTACCCCTTAAAAGTCAAAAGTTGTGTTAGATAAAAAGGTAGTAAAAATGAGTAAAATAAAGAAGGTGAAATAAAAATAAATGCAATAAAGTAGAGAAAATAAAACAAGTAAAGAAAATGTAAGCAAGATAAATAAAAATTAAACAGACACAAAAATAAATATAAAGAAATATATATATATATATAATACATAAAATAAAGAAGATAATAACAACAACAATACAAAAAAATAGAAGATAAAAATAGGATAAAATGAAATTTACAAAATAATAAATATATATAACATATAATAATAGTAATAAAAACATATAAATAATAATAATAGTAATAAAGGCAAAAGAATAAAAAAATAGTAAAAAATGAAAATAAAAATAGAATGATATAATAATAATAAAAAATGAAAATAAAAAAAATAATAGAATATATATATATAGGATATAGTACTTAAATAAAGAAATAACCAAACAAAATAATTAAAAACTATATAAATTAATAATAGATATATAAATAAGTAGGGATGGAAAACGGGCGGGTCGGGTGCGGATACCCCATCCCCCATCCCCATACCCACCTACTATTTTTCAATCCACCACCCGCCCACCACCCATGATGGGTATAAATTTTCAAATCCACACCCGCCCACGCGGGTACATTTTCAAATCCATCCCCACACCCACTACCCACTAGCGACATACCCATCTAGACCCGCCTGACAACAAACTAATGAGATGTTGGAGTTGGTTCCCATACAGTTCGTGATGGGGTAGCAGCGCATGCTTCAATTTGTCAGAGGAGTGGCTCTACGAATGTTATAGAGACAGATTATAGGGAGCATGTAGTCGCAGAGCTGGATTGTTGTGTTGCTTTCGATGTTAATGCTCATAGTGAGCCTAATATGGGTTTTGAGGGGCTAAAGAACATGGAAACTGCTTCTTTTGATGTTAATGCTTATAGTAACGTTAATTTGTGTTTGGATGGGCAGCATGGGCTAAAGAACATGAAAAGTGACGTGGTTAGTGAGATTATGGGTTTAATCAAAGAGCCGAATATTTCCCTAATTAAATACCAGATTAAAGACTAAATATCCTTAATATTAAGTTAAATTATATGTTATATATTATATAATATATAATATTAAAATTTATAAATTAGTCTCTAAAATTACACCTAAATTCATAATGATCCAAAATTTAATAGATATTTAGCTGGGCGGGCGGATGTGGGGTGGGCGGATGCGGGGGGGCGGATGCGGGGCGGGTAATGTCTCAAATCCATTACCCGCCCACCATCCACGACGGGTACCACTTTATAAATCCACACCCGCCCACTACCCGCTAAAATTATACCCATCCCCGCTCCAATTGGAGCGGATGCGGTGCGGAATCCACGAAACCGTACCCGTTTGCCATCCCTATAAATAAGGTATAAAAAATATGCGTACATATATATAAAAAATAAATAATGTAAAACAATAATAATAATTAATAAGGAAAAAATATGTGCATTAATAATAACAGAGAAAAAGTAAATAATACTAATATATATATATATATATATATATAGATATGTAATTAAATATACTATAATATTTGAAAAAAAAAAGAAAATTATAGAGGAAAAGGACTAAATTAAAAGATAGGAAAGATGGGTGTTAAATTTCGAATAAGAATTATAAGGGAAGCTCGATTTGGGGTCAAAATAGGTTCTAAAAAAATGAAGGGGACTGAATTAGGGATTAAACCCTTTTAATTACGAAACACGCGGATCATTCCCGGGTCAAGGTCGATACGCGGGTCACCTGTCTGATCCATGGGCTGAGTATATAACTTAAAAAAAATTTAAACTCTTCATTTGTTCTATTCTCACGCCAATAGCATTCCCTTCTCTTGTTTTCTCTCATTGTTTTTCAAAAATGAAGAACACTAACCCTGATTTCCAGAAAATGGCCATCGACCACCCCCACGCCTCCTCGTCGTTATTGTTGATCGGCGACGACCGCCGGTCATCAGCGGCAAAATCATTTTTTTAATCTTTTTCGAAGCTTTTCTTCTCTACTTTTCAAAAAAACCAAATAATTTTCTAAAATCGGGCCTCGAGATAACTAGATCTAACAAAATAGATCTTTAAAAAACCTTCCCGTTCATCGACCGTTTTAGCGTTTCCCCGGGACTTCTGAATCAAATAAAAAAAACACAACATGCAAGGGAAGAAAGAATGAACAAGGTAAAAAAAATACATTTTATTGCTTCCGAATCGCTACAAATGCTTTGAGTATTTGCAGTTTGCTGTGATTTCTCTCGTATCGTGTACAAACTTGTGTGTGATTGTGTTCTAATTACATGGTTTTATAGTAGAAAATAACTCCTATTTTTAGGAGTTTAATTCCAAATAAAATGCTAATGTTGTGGTTGTTGGTTGTTAGCTTGCGTGGACTCGCCAGAGAAATAGGATTGTTGGAGGCGTGTTGGTTGCGGGCACTACAAAACTGGATGAGATGGGGCGTGTGACGTTAGGGTTCCTGGAAATCCCTAGAGCTTGGACCGCGGGGCTGGTTGGCATTTTGGGCCATTTGAGTTGTAAATGGGTTGCTTGTTGCTGGGCTTGTAGTGTTGGGTCTGTAACATGTAACAATTTTGGTTAATAAAATAATATATATATATATATATATATATATATAATATAAAAATATATATGTATATTTCGGTTATAAAAAGTGTCTACAGCTGCCCCTCTTTGCCCATAGTCGTGCAACGGGGATAGAGCAAAGATTAAAAGACACTTTCCGTTTTAATCCAAATTTAACATCATTAATATAGGGGTCAACCCCCATCGAATATCCTCTGTTGCAGAGTTGAAATCCGACACTGAAACTGGTTTGTCAATTTGGACTGAAGCACGAAATGACTCCCTCGTTGCGAGGTTGAGTTGAACTGGAAGATCCTGAGCATAAAATCCTTGGTTGTGAAGTTGAAATCGAACTCAGAGCTTTGACCAGTAGCTCTTGGATTGTCTTCTGGCTCAAGATACTTCGTCGTGAAGGTGAAACTTGACCGGAAGACTTTGGTGTTGTTGTGTTACATATGACTCATTCATCGTGAAGTTGGGTCAATCTGTTTGTGAAATTGGAATGGTCCCCTCGTTGTGAAGTTGAACCTTGGAGTTGGATATCCTTCGTCGTGAAGTTGAAATCCAATGTAAGTTGTGTTGTTTCGAGGCCAATATCGTTCACTGTAAAGTTGAAATTGACTATGAAACTAGAAAGTTTATTGAAAAAAACTCCTTCTTTGAGTTGGATATCCTTCGTCGTGAAGTTGAAATCCAATCTAGAGACGGGTGCTGCTTGTGTGCACGATTCTCTTCGCCGTGAAGCTGAAATCGCGGGTGGCCCCTTCGTCGTGAAGTTGAGCCTGGTAATTGGATATCTTTCGTCGTGAAGTTGAAATCCAAGTAGGTTGTATTGTTCCGAGTTCAATATCCTCCGCCGTGAAGTTAAAATTGGCTCTGGAACTGGGAAATGGTTTGTTGACAGCCAGTCGCCCCTTCGCCGTGAAGTTAAGCTTGTGCTGTCTCGAGTCTAATATCCTTCATTGTGAAGTTGAAATTGACTCTGAATGAAACTGAAAAGTTATTTATTGACAATCAGTCACCCCTTCATTGTGAAGTTGAGATTGGGATGTCTTGAGTCCAATATCCTTCGCTATGAAGTTGAAATTGACTCTGAAACTAGGAAGCCTCTTCGTCGTGAAGTTGAGCCTCAAATGGTACGATATTCTCTATTGTGGAGTTGAAATCGTGGATGTGTGGGTACGATATCCTCCGTCATGGAGTTGAAATCGCGGATGGCCCCTTCATCGTGAAGTTGAGCCTTGACTTGAATATCCTTCATCGTGAAGTTGAAATCCAAGTATTGTATGTTGTGGGTAGACACGATTCCCTTCGTCGTGAAGTTAAAACCGTGGATGAACCCTTTATTGTGAAGTTTGGCTTCGAGCTAGATATCCTTCATCATGAAGTTGAAATCTATTCTCGAGCAAATTGTGTCGTTTCAAGTCCAATCTCCTTCGCTGCGAAGTTGAAATTGGCT